ACCGCAGCAGCTGCAGCAGCACTGCAGCAGGAGGAGTATGCGTAGCAGCAACTAGCGTTCTGCTGCTGCTGCTTCAGCTGCTGCTGCTGCTGCTGCTGCTGCTTCAGCTGCTGCTGCTGCTCGCTCCGCTGCTGCTGCTTCTTCTGCTGCTGCTTTCGCTGCTGCTGCTTCTCTTGCTGCTGCTGCTTCTCTTGCTGCTGCTTCTCCTGCTGCGGCGACTTCTGCTGCTGCTGCTTCTGTTGCTGCTGCTGCTTCTGTTGCTGCTGCTGCTACCGTTGCAGCTGGCTCTGCTGCTGCTGCTTCTGGTGCTGCTTGTGTTGGTGCAGCTGCTTCCACTGTTGCTGCTTCGCCTGTTGCTGCTGTTGCTGCTTCTGCTGCTATTTCTGCTGCTGTTGCCTCTTCGGCTGCAGCGGCTTCTGCTGCTGCTGCTTGTGTTGCTGCTTCTGCTGTTTCTGCTGCTGCCGCCTCTCCTGCTGCTGCTGCGTCTGCTGCTTCTGCTGCTGCTGCTGCTTCTGCTGCTGCAGCTGCTTCTGCTGCTGGTGCTTCTCCTGCAGCTGACTGTTCTGCTGCCGCTTCTGCTGCGGCTGCTTCTGCTGCTGCTGCTGCAGCTGCTTCTTCTGCTGCTGCCTGAGCTGCTACGCCCTCTGCTGCTGCTGCTTCTGCTGCTTCTGCTTCTGCTGCTGCTGCTTCTGCTGCAGCTGCTTCTGCTGCGGTTGCTTCTGCTTCTGCTGCTGCTGCTTCTGCTGCTGCTGCTTCTGGTTCTGCTGCAGCTGCTGCGGTTGCTTCTGCTGCTTGTGCTGCTCCTGCTGCTGTTTGTGCTGCAGCATCTTTTGCTGCTTCTGCTGCTGCGTCTCCTGTTGACGCCGCCGTTGCAGCTGCTGGCTCGTCTGCTGCTGCTGCAGTCGTTGCTGCTGCTGCTGCTGCTGCTGCTGCTGCATCTTCGCGTGCTACAGGTGCTTCTGCTGCTATGGGCGTTGTCCTGGCTCCCGCTGCAGCATCTGCTGCAACTGAGTCTGCTGCTGCTGTTGCTGCTGTTGTTGCTGCTGTTGCTGCTGCTGCTGCAGTGTCTGTTGCTTCTGCTGCAGTCTCTGTTGTTGCTGCTGTTGCTGCTGCTGCTGCTGCTGGTGCTGCAGTGGCATCAGGAGCAGCAGAATCCGGGTGAGCAGCAGCAGCAGCAGCAGCAGCAGCAGCAACAGCAGCAGCAGCAGCAGGAAAGAATGTGTCTTCAGCAGCAGCAGGAGTTGCGGTGGTGGAGTTGCTGCTGTCTGTGCAGCAGCTGCTGCAGCAGGTGCAGCAGCTGCTGTTCGTGCTGCAGCAGCAACTGCTGCAGCATCCGCAGCAGCAGCAGCTACCTTCCCGTCCCCCGCAGCTGCCGTTGCAACTCCCGCTGCAGCTGCTGCTGCTGCTGCTGCTGCTACTGCTGCTGCTGCTGCTGCACCAGTCCCTCGCCCCCACTGCTGCCCGCAGCTCTGCTGCAGAAGAGAAGCAAGCAGCAGCATCTGCTGTAGCAGCAAAAGCCTTCATAGATATCTCCAGCCTCACCAGCGGCACTGCTGTCTCCTTCTCTCTCCCTAACCATGCTGCTGCTGCTGCTGCTGCTGCTGCTGCTGCTGCAGCAGAACCTGAATGCACAGATTACACAATATGTCTCTTCTTTTTTTATCATTGCTGCTGCTGTTGCTGCTGCTGCTGCTGCTGCTGCTGCTGCTGCTGTTGCTGTTGCTGTACACTCTATGTTGAACGGCCTGTTTCTCTGTCTCTGTCTCTTTGTATATTTATTTATTTATTTACTCTGTTTATTTATGCATTTGTTTATTTATTTATTTATGTATTTATTTATTTATGTATCTATCTATCTATCTATCTATCTATCTATCTATCTATCTATCTATCTATCTATCTATCTATCTA